TTCCTCCCTCAGAGCTACTGCCTTTGTCCAGACCTGTGTGGCACAGGGTGCGCAACTGGTGACTATGGTCTGGCACCACCAGGGCCCCAGCCCCCTTTTGCTTCATGCTTTTTCCTTTTTCTACCTTTTTCCCCCCCTCTCTGCAAAGCACCTGCAAAAAGTACAGCATCCTGGTATATCTGTGATGTTTGGCTTCCACCCTGCTTCTGTTCCAAAAAGATTCAGTTCCCACTTAAGTAATAAAGTATCGCAGGTACAAGTGATAAAGGTTGGGTACCAGCAAGCTTGTGGCAGAAAGTAGGGTGGAGACAGAAGCCGAGTATGGTGGGGAAGGCCTGACGGGGTCAGGAGAGAAGGCATCCAGCAGGTGGCTGGGAGCACGGCACAGCAGTTCACCACAGCCTGCCTATGGGGGCGTACGTGTGTGTTTGTATAGTAGGATTATGCTGAGAAGGAACCGGATGATAAAAGGCAGTGGGGAACCACTGGAAAATTTTTAGCGAAGTAGTAATGTGATCAGATAGCTTCTCAGAAAGATGACCCTAGCAGCAATGTAGGCTGATGAAATGGAGGGAGGGGAGACAGGAGGGAATGAAGGAAACAGGAAGGAAGCAGGTGGCAAGAAATGCAAGAGCAATAGGACAAGAGGGGACAGGGGAAGGCATAGGAAAGAGATGAAAGATATAGAATCAGCAGGATTTAGTGACCAAGTGCTAGGATATGGGATATTAAGAGAGGTCCAAAATGATGGCCAAGGTTTGCATTTGGGTGGATAATGCTGTTATTTACAGTGATAAAGAAGAGGGGAAGAGAAACAGCCTTTAAGGGGAAGATCACAAATTCAACTTTGGACAAACTGACTTTGAAGTGCCTATGGGGGAAGACGGATAAAGGTCTGTGTTAGATAAAGAGACCTGGAAATTATCAGAATATAGGTAGGCAGAAGCTAATCTGTAGAGGTGAACACCTAGGAAGAGTGAGAGGAAAGAGCCAAGAACAGAGCCCTGGGGAACACCAGGATTTAAGGGAGGTGCGTGAAGAGATTTGGAGATATCAGTGCAAGGGGCACTCAGGCCAGGGAACACAAGCTCCCCAGGCTGCCTTTCTACAGAAAGACGACCTAGGGCCAGGTTTAGGTGTAACACTTCATAACACCATTTAAAATCACTTCCTTTAATATACAAGAAACGCATAACACACAAAGAAAGTCCAAGATATCTCCAGTTCCAGAGTTGGTAGTTTAGGGGTGTTAAAGAAAATGAGCCTTTCCAGTCCCCCAGGGAAAGAAGGGGTGAGAGGACTAGAATATCACTAGACCCTTGGTGAAGCCTGGGCTGCGGCCACGCATGGCCTAGCTCTCTACCAAGGCAAAGTGCTGGTTTTCCTTGTCATGATCCTGGCCTTGCTCCCATGCTTGTCCTCCAGTTCTCAGAAGGCGTCCAGTTCCCAGAATGGCTCCTTCTTTTAGCTCCCTAACATTTTCACTCAGTGGGGAAGGCCGCTACCCACAAAAGGCAGTATGCAAGGCGGAGGTTGTCCAGGAGAGGGAAGAAGAGTACAGGCCTCGCCCCTCTGTGCTGACTTCTTAGGACTAGCTTCCCCCTCTCCCTTTACCTGTCGGGCGCCAGAGTCCCAGGGGAGTTGTCATCCTGCAGGACGGTGAGGGGAGATCTCCTAGTACCTTGCCCTTGGTTTCCGTCTATTGCACTTAGAACCTAGGGAGGGTAAAGGGTTAAAGCAAGGAACCAAAATTAGGGGCTTACAGTTTATTCCTCCTAAGCTATCCCAGAACATGATCCCAATTTCTCTTCCTTATACCTTGCCTTGAGATTCTGTACCTGAAGATCGGGGCGTCTCAGGATCTCTCATGGACTTGCTGAGTCCTGGCTGGCCATAAGGGTTTCTGAGGGCTGTCCTGTTTCTTCCTCGGAAAATACCTGCTTGGAGGGAAGCTCAGCCTGGCTCCCATGTGGCAACTGGTCCTCAAGGGAAAACTGGGTGCCCAGAGGCAAGTCCAACTCAGAAGATGAAGGTGTCTCTAGGGGCAGAATAGGCTCTGGGGGAAGATTTGATTTGGGGCCTTTGGTTTCAAATACTTCACTCAGCTGTTTCACCAGTGGGCTCGGGAGCTCTAGAGGGGAGAGTGAAGTGAGACAGTGACCCCCTGATGCAAATTGTTCAGCAAAGAGAAAAAATATAGGAGCCTTAGGATTCATGCCCTGGTGGGTGAGAAATTGAGAAGAGGAAAATCAAGGTGAGAGGGAGAAAATGTTGAGAAAAGAGTGAGCAGGAGGATGGAGGCCCCTTTAAGCCCTGAGGGTGTGGCCTCATTGACCCCCCCCCCCCGCCCCCCCCCCAAGGATGGTAGCGACAGCCTCATCAGAATTCTCTGGGCGCAACACTTACCTCCGCTGGTCTTCATAGGTGTCCGTGAAATGCCAAGGGTAGGAGAGCGGGATCTGAGTCCTGAGCCTGATTAGGGCCCTCCAGCTGCTCCCCTGCTGGTAGGTTTGGCTGTGGAGAGCTCTCCACCTGTCAGGATCAACGGCTCTTAAAGTCTGGGCCCTACTTCTTCTTCCTCCCAGGCCTCCCGCCTCAGGCAGATGTTCCAAGCAGAAATTGCCAAGTCCCCCAGGCATTCAGGAGAGTGTAGAAAGTAAGGCCTCAAAGTAGAGGTGGGGAGTGGGGGCTCTCGCAGAATCAGGTTAAGCAGACGCCAAAGAATTCGGGCAGTTTTTCTACCTACCCCCCACGCGGCCCAGAGTACCTGGATGGGAGGCGCAGGATGCCGGCACTAGGTGAACGCGGGTCCGCCACTCGAGCCAGGTGCTTGTTGTGCGGCGGAGGCCGCGCAGGAGTGACTGGTACGCTCTTGGCTGAGCCCATCTCAACAGGGAGGAAGAAAGGGGGCAGAGCCCGGCCCGGGGTGAGGAGGGGGGTGCCTGTGAGAAGTGACTCACTCCCGGCCCTTACCGCGACCATGTCCGACCTCGAACTCCAGACCACCCAATCCTCCCAGAGCCCAGTTAAGGAACCTCTTGGCCACTGGACTAGAAACCTCTGTGGGGGGCAATGACTGGTGCAGCTAACAAGGCGGCTCATTCCAGGACTGCCGGGGCCGCAACTTACTAATTTATTCAAATCACTTACCGTACCCCAACCCACTTTTGCTACACAGCAGCTCGAGCCTCACTCCCGAAGCTGAGTTTCAAACCTCCCGCCACGCCCCCCGCCGTGGCCCTATTGGCTGAGCCGACACAGGCTCCTATAGGCCTACTATGGAGACCCGCCTCCAGTGAAAGAAACCATTGGGCTAAGAGGATGTCCATCATGGAAACCCTAGGGAAGCACGGCTTCCGCTGCCCGGGGGTTGACGCTTTCGTCAAAGGGGAATTTTGCTCCTCCCAGGCTGCAAGTTGTCCATAGTGAGATTTTAGGGAGTGCCGGATCTGCTTTTGAGCATTTCATTTTCAAAACCAAATAATTTTATTTAAAAAATAGAATGGATTACTATGCTAACATGTACAGAGGAGGAGAAGATTTTTAAGGCGAGAGAAATGGAATCCTTACTGTTAACGGCGCCAGTCATTCAACTCGACCCTCTCAAACTCCCGCCTCGAATAGCCGTCTTTCAAATAACACCAAGAATGACTCCCCCGAGGACAAGTCTCAGGAAAGGCTGAGATTGGTTTAAACAATTATCAACTTCTGCTCTTCAACAGAAGGCACACGAAGGGACTATAGGGTTCTCAGATTGCGGGCAGCGAAAACCCAGGGTACACCTCGTTGCTCTACTAGCGCTCTTCTCCCGGAAGAGTGGGATTGGTTCTTTCAGCCACGCTTTGGAGGCGCTTTTCTTGGGTTTAGTCAAGCGTAAGACAAGGGGCGGAGCACTAGAGCGCTCGTTAGGTGCATGCGCTTCAGGGAAGACGCGCGAGAATGGCAGTTGGACCGAGCCTGCGTACTAGTGCTCCGCCCCTTGTCTTACGCTTGACTAAACCCAATGAAAAGCGCCTCCAAAGCTATCGATGGCTGAAAGAACCAATCCCACTCTTCCAGGGAAGAGCGCTAGGAGAGCAACGAGGTGTACCCTGGAGTTTTCGCTGCCCGCAATCTGAGACCCCTATAGTCCCTTCGTGTGCCTTCTATTGAAGAGCAGAAGTTGATAATTGTTTAAACCAATCTCAGACACTTTCCTGGAGACTTGTCCTCGGAAAATAGAAGAGCAATTCTTGGTATTTGAAAGACGGCTATTCAATGAGGCGGAGTTTGAGAGGGTTAGAGTTGAATGACTGATAACGCCGTTAACCAGTAAGGATTACCATTTCTCTCGCCTTAAAAATCTTCATAACTCTACCTCCGTCTGTACATGTTAGCATAGTAATCCATTCTATTTTTTAAAAATAAAATTATTTGGTTTTGAAAATGAAGATCTCAAAAGCGAAGATCGGCACTCCCTAAAATCTCACTATGGACAACTTGCAGCCTGAGAGGAGCAAAATTCCCCTTTGACGAAAGAAGCGTCAACCCCGGGCAACGGAAGCCGTGGCCCATTGACCCCAGGGTTTCCATGATAGACATCCTCTTAGCCCAATGGTTTCTTTCACTGGAGGCGGGTCTCCATAGTAGGCCTATAGGAGCCTGTGTCGGCTCAGCCAATAGGGCCACGGCAGGGGGCGTGGCGGGAGGTTTGAAACTCAGCTTCGGGAGTAGAGGCTCGAGCTGCTGTGTAGCAAGAAGTGGAGTTGGGGTACGGTAAGTGATTTGAATAAATTAGTAAATTAGCGGCCCCGGCAGTCCTGGAATGAGCCGCCTTGTTAGCTGCACCAGTCATTGCCCCCCACAGAGGTTTCTAGTCCAGTGGCCAAGAGGTTCCTTAACTGGGCTCTGGGAGGATTGGGTGGTCTGGAGTTCGAGGTCGGACATGGTCGCGGTAAGGGCCGAGAATTGAGTCACTTCTCACAGGCACCCCCTCCTCACCCCGGGCCGGGCTCTGCCCCACTTTCTTCCTCCCTGTTGAGATGGGCTCAGCCAAGAGCGTACCAGTCACTCCTGCGCGGCCTCCGCCGCACAACAAGCACCTGGCTCGAGTGGCGGACCCGCGTTCACCTAGTGCCGGCATCCTGCGCACTCCCATCCAGGTACTCTGGGCCGCGTAGGGGGTAGGTAGAAAAACTGCCCGAATTCTTTGGCGTCTGCTTAACCTGATTCTGCGAGAGCCCCCACTCCCCACCTCTACTTTGAGGCCTTACTTTCTACACTCTCCTGAATGCCTGGGGGACTTGGCAATTTCTGCTTGGAACATCTGCCTGAGGCAGGAGACCTGGGAGGGAAGAAGAAGTAGGGCCCAGACTTTAAGAGCCGTTGATCCTGACAGGTGGAGAGCTCTCCACAGCCAAACCTACCAGCAGGGGAGCAGCTGGAGGGCCCTAATCAGGCTCAGGACTCAGATCCCCGCTCTCCTACCCTTGGCATTTCACGGACACCTATGAAGACCAGCGGAGGTAAGTGTTGCGCCCAGAGAATTCTGATGAGGCTGTCAGCTACCATCCTTGGGGGGGGGGGGGGGGGGGGGGGTCAATGAGGCCACACCCTCAGGGCTTAAAGGGGCCTCCATCCTCCTGCTCACTCTTTTCTCAACATTTTACTCCCTCTCACCTTGATTTTCCTCTTCTCAATTTCTCACCCACCAGGGCATGAATCCTAAGGCTCCTATATTTTTTCTCTTTGCTGAACAATTTGCATCAGGGGGTCACTGTCTCACTTCACTCTCCCCTCTAGAGCTCCCGAGCCCACTGGTGAAACAGCTGAGTGAAGTATTTGAAACCAAAGGCCCCAAATCAAATCTTCCCCCAGAGCCTATTCTGCCCCTAGAGACACCTTCATCTTCTGAGTTGGACTTGCCTCTGGGCACCCAGTTTTCCCTTGAGGACCAGTTGCCACATGGGAGCCAGGCTGAGCTTCCCTCCAAGCAGGTATTTTCCGAGGAAGAAACAGGACAGCCCTCAGAAACCCTTATGGCCAGCCAGGACTCAGACAAGTCCATGAGAGATCCTGAGACGCCCCGATCTTCAGGTACAGAATCTCAAGGCAAGGTATAAGGAAGAGAAATTGGGATCATGTTCTGGGATAGCTTAGGAGGAATAAACTGTAAGCCCCTAATTTTGGTTCCTTGCTTTAACCCTTTACCCTCCCTAGGTTCTAAGTGCAATAGACGGAAACCAAAGGGCAAGGTACTAGGGAGATCTCCCCTCACCGTCCTGCAGGATGACAACTCCCCTGGGACTCTGACGCCACGACAGGTAAAGGGAGAGGGGGAGAGCTAGTCCTAAGAAGTCAGCACAGAGGGGGCGAGGCCTGTACTCTATCTTCCCTCTCCTGGACAACCTCCAGCAACTTGCATACTGCCTTTTGTAGGGTAAGCGGCCTTCCCCACTGAGTGAAAATGTTAGGGAGCTAAAAGAAGGAGCCATTCTGGGAACTGGACGCCTTCTGAGAACTGGAGGACAAGCATGGGAGCAAGGCCAGGATCATGACAAGGAAAACCAGCACTTTGCCTTGGTAGAGAGCTAGGCCATGCGTGGCCGCAGCCCAGGCTTCACCAAGGGTCTAGTGATATTCTAGTCCTCTCACCCCTTCTTTCCCTGGGGGACTGGAAAGGCTCATTTTCTTTAACACCCCTAAACTACCAACTCTGGAACTGAGAGATATCTTGGACTTTCTTTGTGTGTTATGCGTTTCTTGTATATTAAAGGAAGTGATTTTAAATGGTGTTATGAAGTGTTACACCTAAACCTGGCCCTAGGTCGTCTTTCTGTAGAAAGGCAGCCTGGGGAGCTTGTGTTCCCTGGCCTGAGTGCCCCTTGCACTGATATCTCCAAATCTCTTCACGCACCTCCCTTAAATCCTGGTGTTCCCCAGGGCTCTGTTCTTGGCTCTTTCCTCTCACTCTTCCTAGGTGTTCACCTCTACAGATTAGCTACTGCCTACCTATATTCTGATAATTTCCAGGTCTCTTTATCTAACACAGACCTTTATCCGTCTTCCCCATAGGCACTTCAAAGTCAGTTTGTCCAAAGTTGAATTTGTGATCTTCCCCTTAAAGGCTGTTTCTCTTCCCCTCTTCTTTATCACTGTAAATAACAGCATTATCCACCCAAATGCAAACCTTGGCCATCATTTTGAACCTCTCTTAATATCCCATATCCTAGCACTTGGTCACTAAATCCTGCTGATTCTATATCTTTCATCTCTTTCCTATGCCTTCCCCTGTCCCCTCTTGTCCTATTGCTCTTGCATTTCTTGCCACCTGCTTCCTTCCTGTTTCCTTCATTCCCTCCTGTCTCCCCTCCCTCCATTTCATCAGCCTACATTGCTGCTAGGGTCATCTTTCTGAGAAGCTATCTGATCACATTACTACTTCGCTAAAAATTTTCCAGTGGTTCCCCACTGCCTTTTATCATCCGGTTCCTTCTCAGCATAATCCTACTATACAAACACACACGTACGCCCCATAGGCAGGCTGTGGTGAACTGCTGTGCACGTGCTCCCAGCCACCTGCTGGATGCCTTCTCTCCTGACCCACGTCAGGCCTTCCCCACCATACTTGGGCTTCTGTCTCCACCCTACTTTCTGCCACAAGCTTGCTGGTACCCAACCTTTATCACTTGTACCTGCGATACTTTATTACTTAAGTGGGAACTGAATCTTTTTGGAACAGAAGCAGGGTGGAAGCCAAACATCACAGATATACCAGGATGCTGTACTTTATTGCAGGTGCTTTGCAGAGAGAGGGGGGAAAAAAAGGTAGAAAAAGGAAAAAGCATGAAGCAAAAGGGGGCTGGGACCCTGGTGGTGCCAGACCATAGTCACCAGTTGCGCACCCTGTGCCACACAGGTCTGGACAAAGGCAGTAGCTCTGAGGGAGGAATCCTAGCGCCTGGAGCCTCACACTGGGAACCTGCTGAGCCTAAGGGCTGGGGAGGGGTCAGTTGTCCTTGTTCACTAAGGGAGAAACTGTCAAGACTATGGAGAAGGGAGGCCTTGGGAGGAAATGGGGCAGTTCTCTGCTGATCCCTGTTGCTGCCTCCCAAAGGCACACTCCCTGTGTTCCCCACTGTCCTCAAAGGAGAAAGCTGAGTGGGAATGGCAGCTGGGGTGCAGAAGAGAAAGCCTTAAAGGAACCTTAAAGAAATTGGGCAGGGGAAGGGACAGCTGAGTATCTTCATGGTCTTCTACCTCCCCTCTCCAGCCTCCTCAGTTCCAGATTTTGAGGAAGCTGTCCCAGGAGCCAGTGGCCACTGCCATCCCATCAGCTGTGACCCCTAGGCAGCTGACCCTATTGTCGTGGCCAGAGAGGATGCCTAAGGAGAAGGGAGAGGAGACAGCGTGTCTCCACATGCTCCTTTAGAAGGGCGCGTGTGTGCACACACAGGAATCCTAGGTTAGGTAGGCTGGGCTCTGACTTCAGCCCCGCCCCCCCCCCCCCCCATGGAGATTGGAGGACAGAAAGAGGATTATCCCTAAACGGTAGGGTTTTTCTGGAGCCCAGTGTCTGTCAAGAACCTGGGGTGGGGAATGGGCCGAGAGGGATGGGGGAAGGTTGGAAGTAGTGTGCTGTGAGAAGAACCAGGGGTATCTTGATGGGCACTGGAAAATGGGGAAAGTAACCCTGTCTTGCTGTTTCTTTGTTTCAAACAAAGAGGCTGAGGCCCAGAGAGAAGTGACTTGCCCAAGGGCACTCAGAAAGTAAGCCCCAGAATTAGGATTTGGATCCTGACTCTCTGGCAAGTGTTATTTTCATTCAGCTCCTGACCTCTCATGAGGAGAAGCCACACTCTGATTGAACTGTAGACCAGGCTGGTCCTAGATAAGCCCCTAGCTTGGGGTCAGGACCCTGAAGTCATTCTAGGTCTTGATTCTGCTCATTGCATAGTTCCCTGAGACTGACCTTTCCTTCCATGGATAGCCCTGAAACCCAGGCCTGACTAGACATTCAGGTCCTCAGGTCTGGAGATCACCTGAAGGAGCTCCTTTGGCAGGGAGCAGCCATGGCATTGGGTGATGGAGAAGGGCCCCTTAGAGCAACTTTTCTTTCAGAGAAGATGATCCTACATTGGGAACCAAAGGGGGGCTGGATTCCAGGGGTAGAACCCAGAGTTATCTAGTAATTAGGGAATAGCAGTAAGAGGTTCCCAACAAGGGGAGCTAGATGGAGGGTACTTCCAGGTAGGGCAGCAGCCGGGGAGGGGGAGCTGGGCTGGCCCTTACCCACACGCTCGCCCTTCATGGAGTCCCAGACATTGCAGTTGAAGTCGTCGTAGCCTGCGAAGAGCAGGCGGCCACTGAGGGAGAAGGCCACAGATGTGATGCCGCAGATGATGCTCTCATGGGAATAGGCGGTCAGCTCCTGGTCTGCCCGCAGGTCAAACAGACGGCAGGAGGCGTCGTCCGAGCCTGTGCAGATGGCCTCTCCATTGGGGAAGAACTGAGGGCACAGGTGGCGAGGAGTCAGGACTCAGACCTGAGCAGCTGCTGCCTCTCCTGCCCTCTCCCTGACTCCTGCCCTGGTGGCTCCAGGGCAAGCACCTTCCCTCAGCCTCCCTGCCTGTCCCTTCCCTGGCCTGCAGTGAGAAAGGCCGCAGCATTGCTCTTCTTGTGCGCTGATGGCTCCCCTAAACCCTTCACTTGCTCCTCATGGCAGCGCTGCAGGCCGGCATTATTCCCAGGAAGCGGAGGGAGCGCCTGCAGCTTGCCCAGGGTCACATGGCTAGAAGGGCGGGAGGTTGCCTCTGACTCTTCCCACACAGTCAACTGGATCAGAGTGTAGGAACAGGGCCAAGTGCAAATGCATAGCCTGAACCTCATCATGAGGAAATGTCAGATCGACTCAAATAGAGGGAAAGTCTACAGAAAATTGGTATGTACTCTTTAAAGATGTCATTGTCATGAAAGACAAAAGGTAGAAGACAGTTCTCACTTAAAGGAAACTAAGATGTGGCAAGAAAATGCAATACATGTTCCTGGCAGGGGGAAAAGAACTGCCGTTACAGATATTTTGGAGATGATTGGTGAGACTATAGTATTGTGTCAATGTTAAATTCCCTGATTTTAAGAATTACACTGTGGCTATGTAAGAAAATGGCCTTGTGTTTAGGAAATACACACTGAAGTATTTAAGGGGTAAAGAGACATGATGTCTGCAACTTACTCTCAAGAAACCCAGGGAAAGCCATAACAACAAAATGTGTATCTACATCTAGGTGTATGTGTTTTCCTAGCTAACTAGCTATCAATCATCGGTCCATCCGACTATTCCCCCGGCCCTCCATCCCTTCCTCTACAGAGAGAGAATGGTAAAGCAAATGTGGTAACATGTTAACAGTGAGTATGGGTGCAGGGGGATGGGAGCTCTTTCTGTTACTCTCACAGCTTTGCTGTGAGGTGCAGTTATTTTAGACGGGAAAGTTAAAAAGCCAGGGGTAGGGAGCCCTGGGAGGGGGGAGGGGGTCCCAGGAGGTGGAGCACAGAGGGGCTCACGCAGATAGCGTTGATGTCCGACTCGTGGCCAGTGAAAGTCTGCCGGCAGGTCCCCTCCCGCACGTCCCAGAGCTTGGCGCTGGCATCACAAGCCCCCGAAACGAAGAGTTTGAAGTCAGGAGACACAGCCAGGCTCATGCAGTCCCCTGTGTGTCCCACAAACACAGTCTTCTGCTGCCCAGTCTCAATATCCCACAGAGCACTGCCAGGAGGAGGGGAGGCTGTCACAGGGAAAGGCCAGGACAGAAGTGCCGCCCCAGCCCAGCGCCCACAGTGTTCCGTCCTCACCACGTGGTGTCCCCTGAGCTGGTCACGATGTTGTTGTCATCCAGAAAGCGGCAGCAGGAGAGATAACCTGGGGGTGGTTAGGACAGGGTCCTGGCTTCAGAGCCACAACCCATCAAGCCCTGGGCTTCTCTGGACCCCTCGGGATGGGAAGCCAGGGTCTCTCACCTGTGTGAGCAGAGAGTTCCCGGCTGACCTTGACATTGCCCTCACGGGATTTGAGGCTGTAGATAGAGCACATATTGTCCAGCCCCCCACATGCCACAAAGTTCCCTGATGGGGCATAGGCACAGGTCATGACCCAGGAGGAGCGCAGAGGGATGGCATGTACCTGCAGGAGGTCAGGGTGAGCAGAGACAGGAGCTGGGCTGAGCTCCCAGGTGGAGAGGGCAGAGGAGGGCAGGCATAATGTCCCCAAGGAAAGGTGGGGTGATGGAGGGGCAGGAGGCAGGGCTGGTACCTTGTTGGTGGTGTAGGTGTCCCACACAATCAGCTTTCCGTCTTGAGAGGCACTCACTAGCAGCCTGGGGAGAGGGGACCTCACATCACACCCCGCGCCACCCAAGCTTCTCCTTCCTGCTTCCCCTCCCCTCTGGGCACACCTCAACCCTCACTTGGAGTCAGTGGCCCAGTGCATGGCATAAATCTTGGCTAGGTGTCCCCTTAACGTTCGCCTTGTCCGCATCTGGACTCGTCCTACGACTTCTAGGTCAGACACAAGCTGCAGAAAAGGGGGCGTTAGAAATCAAGGTGAGCAGGGTATGTGCCCAGATGTCAATGTCACAGCCACTGATCTGTACAAGTTTCTTTTTTCCTTCTTTTCAAAGAAAAAAAATTTTTATTTTAAAGAGGAGGGAAGGGAGGGAGAAAGAGAGGGAAACCTAGATTGGCTGCCTCTCACACACCCCCAACGAGGGACCTGCCATGCAACTCAGGCACGTGCCCTGACCATGGCATCGAACCAGCGACCCCTCATGTCACGGGCTGGCGCCCAGTGCACCGAGCCGCCCCGGCCAGTGCTGATCTGCTCAAGTGTCTGGCCTGTGCCAGGCTCTGCTTCAGGCCCCCGCCTTGAAGTAATAAGCCCCTGCAGTGGAGTGGCTTATGCTGATGTGAGAGACAGCCGGTGGCATGTTGCTAAGTGTTTAGCAGCCCTCACCAGTGCAGGGCGGGGAGGATGAAGGGAGGTAGGAGGGTAATTTCTATCCTGTAATTCTCCCACCGTGACCAATTTCAAGCTGCCAATGTGGAGTCACTGAACAAGGATTTAGGAAGATATGTACACATTTGACTGTTCCAAACCGCTAGGAACCTGCCCACGCACACCACACTGCAGCACAGCCAACTCTTTAACTGGGTATCCAGGGTATCACCATGGCCTTGAACTGTATCTCCTGAAATTTGTTGTCCTATGCCTCTTAAATTCTATCCAGCTTCTAGACTTAGTCTGGGGCTCCAGAGCCAAAAGACTTGATTTGCCATTTACCTGCTTTATTATCTTGGTCAAGTTACTTTACCTATCTGAGCCTGTCCTCATATATAAAATGTTTATAGCACCTACTATATGGGATTGTCATAAAAATTAAACAAAATTGCCCTGCCCAGGTAGCTCAGTTGTTTAGAGTATTGTCCTGATATGCCAAAGTTGCAGGTTCAATCCCCAGCCAGGGCACGCATAAGAATCAACCAATGAATGTGTATGTAAGTGACACAACAAATTGATGTCTCTCTCTCTCTTTTTCTCTCCCACCCCCATGCTGCCCCTTCTCTAAAAAAAAATCAATTTTTTAGAATAGTAGGTTTTAAAAAAAGAAAATGAAATGAAATTATGTATTTAAGTAATTTAGCCCAATGTCTGACTCATGGTAAGTGTTCAGTAAATGCTAACTCTTATTAAGATATTTAATCCTGCTCTGGCTGGTGTGGCCAGTTGATTGGAGCATCATCCTGCGCACTGAAAGGCTGAGGGTTCAATTCCTGGTCAGGGCACATGCCTAGGATGCAGGTTTGTTCCCCAGATAGGGTGCGTGCAAAAGGCAGCCAAGCAATGTCTCTCTCTCAGTCTCCCTGCCCTCACATAGGCCTTCTCTAAAAACAATGAAAGGATGTCCTTGGGTGAGAATTTAAAAAAAAAAAAAAGTTACGTTTAATCCTATCTAAGGTGCAACCTACTCTAGGAAGCACTATTCTTTTATGTGTCACTAAGAAAAAATGCTGCCAATTTTAATTGTAAGCCATCATCTGGTGTTGGATGCATCTTGATTTCAGAAATGTGAAAAAGTATGCATCTTAGAGTTGATAAAATACAGTATTAAACAACTAATTACTGGAGTCCATAAGGGCTTTGTGATTGACAAAGTACTACCCCTCTCTGCATCCTCAGCACCCTGCAAGGTGAGGGGCTGTAGTCACTCCTGTTTTATGGATGACAGTACGGACAGCATCTTGTCCTTAGCCTCCAATAGAGTCACTGGTCCACAGCAGATCTCACTGTTTGTTGAATGAATTAATTAATCTTATTCCTCATTCCAAGGACATATTGTACTCAAGCTTGGGCTGGTCAGGGAGCTCCCCTCCCCTCTCCTTCCCTCAGGCCCTGCCTCAAGGGGACAGAAGTCTCACCTCTGCCAGAGTAGTGTCAGCACAGGCTTTCCTGGCATCCTAGGGGGAGAGCAGAAGTCAGGGGAGGGAAGGGCAGAGTGGAGGGTGGGGGCTGCGTGGGTCTCTAAGGTAGGTGGGTTAGGGCTCTACAGTTTGGGGACATCTCAAGTATGAGATCCAGAAAGTCTCTGGTCACCCAAGTCAGGGGTCTCTAAGGTGTCACTCAAGAGTGAGTTCAGCCTCCTTCCCCACCCAGGCCACACTCCCTCATGTTCCTACTTCTGTTTTCTGGGATTTTCATTGGGACGTTTCTGGGTTTACCGCAATCTGCTTCTTGAGCTGTTCCGCTTCCTGCCGCAGCTGCTCCATCTCCCCCATGGCTGACAGGTTGAGGGGTAGCTCCGGCGCCTGCCAGGAACATGGTGTAAGTATAGGGGGAATCCCCACCAGGCCATGTTTCTGACCCTTACACCTCACACCTCACACCTCACACCTGACTCCTCATGAGGGCTGGAGCCCATTCCAAGAAATAGAGAAATGACCAGGTGGCCTACACCGCCTCCCCCACTAGCCTCTCCACGTGTAGAGTCCTCTGCAGTCAGCCCTAGCCATGCCCGAGCCCTCCCTGCAGCCCCCAGCCCCGGAGAGCAGAGCCAGGCCAGCTCCCTCTTACTTGGGCTCTGACTGGACCTCTCCCAGGTTTCCAGCTCCGGTTCCCAGCCACCTCCTCACTCCCTCAGCAGCGACGCCAGCCCGTCACCTGCCCCAGCTCTGCTGCCAGAGGAGCTGGCCTGGCCTGGCCCCGCTCTGGGGGGGGCACTGACAGAGAAGGGTAGGGCCAACAAGGACTACGTCAGGCAAATGAAATCAGCTGGCAGGGGTGGGGGAGAGGACAGGGAGAGAGGTGTGTGGCTTCCCGAGAGACTTGGGCCCAGCCTGGGGGAGGGGGAGGAGCAGGAATGCTGGGCTGTAGAGGAGCAGCCCCCCACAACAAGCTCTGGAGAGGAGGGGTAAAAGGGGTGCTTCCCTGATGGGTCTCTCAGGAGCATCGGGCCCCACAGGATTAGAGCAAAGCTGTGAGGATTAAAGGGGGAGGTTTGGGAGGACGCAAAGGAGCAGTCACCACCACAGCTCCAGCAGTCCCCCCCAGGCGTTGGCCCCCACCGGTGGTGCTGATCTTGGCAGTCAGGGCCTGCCTAGCAACCAGGCCAAGAGTCAGAATGTGAGGGTGAGAGATGGCCCATTGTCCATACCCAAAACTGTCTTCCTTACCCCAGGGTGGTGGGGGAAGAGGGTTCTAGAGACTACGGGGAGGGCCCAGAGGGAGGAGAGATTAGAGGGGACTGATCTGGATAATCCTTCTTCCCGACAAACCCCAACCAGCTGCCCCAGGACCTGATCCTGGGTCCGGGGTGGCGGGGGGAGGACGGGGGGTTCAAGAAGAGGGATGGACAGGCCTGCCCCTGCTCTGGGTGTAGAACGAATTGCTAGTGGAGGGCAATCCCATCCCCTGTCCCCATCTGGGTTTGGCCCACTCCTTGCCCCCGCGACTCACGAGGTCCTCCTCTGGGGCTATGAAAGCAGAAGCCTTAAGGACCAGGCTGCCCTAAGTCTTGGCCAAGCTCAGAGGGAAAACAGGGCTTAGAGTTGGAGGCCCAAGGAGCAGCTGTCAGGGTTTGGGTGTATTTGCATGAGGGGGAGCAGGTGGCTGAGATTTCCCTGACAAATCACAGGCTCGAGTGGCCCCGCCTCCCGGAGGCCCAGAGACACATTTCTCCTCCCAGGCCAGCCGTAGCCACGCCCACCTCGGGCCACCAAAGAAACTGATGCACTTGATGAGTCTGGGCTGAGGGAATCTTCAAGTTCTTTATTGACAGGCTGGGGGAGGGCAATGGGGTTATTCCCCCCTCTCATCCTCCTTATTTGAAGCAGTCAGGCCCTACTCCCTGCCACTCCTTTCCAGGGAGGCATTGCGTCCTCTGTTTGTCCAGGGCTGGAGGTCCATCACCCTGGGGCCAGCCCTGGCTCCTCAGACCCGGTGAGCTCAAGGCTGGTCTGTGCAGCGTCCTCTGAGTCCCGGGCTGGACGATGCTTGTGACCCCGAAGATGGTGGGAGTACAGGGACAGAGAGCTCACTGTTCTGCTCCTGTCACATGGGGTCTTCTTGTAGGTCCTGGCATCAAGGCAGCCCTCACGAGTCAGGTGGTCACATCTCCAAGGAGCTGGCTCAGCCTCTCACAGCTCCTCTCGGACCCGAGGCAGCTTCCCAGCTTTGTCCTGGACCCGCTGAAGCCTGCGGCTGGGGGGTTCTGGGGAAGGGTCTTTGCTGGGCATTTCTTCCTCCTCCTCCTCTGGCTCCTGCAGCAGCTCTTTAGCTTCTGTCCACTCCTGGGAGGTGGGAGAAGAGTGGCCCAATTCCCTGCCTCCACCCTGCCCCGAGGACCCTCCCTGGGTCACCTCAGCCCCTGCCCCTCTCCAGTCAGCCTGCCCACGCTTCACACACCACAGGAGGCACCCTTCCTATTCCTGCCCCTCCTCACCTGCTCCCTGTGCTCAGGTGCCCAGGTGTGCCAAAGTGCCAGGGCACAGCGCCGGCCCCGAGTCACGGCCCACACTCCGTGGGGATTCTCCCCTCCGGAGCTGAAGGCCACGAGGCGTCCACAGCGAGGGCGAACCTGAGCCTGGGGGATGAGGGCAGGTTCAACTCCAGAGATAGGCCTTCAGAGAACTCAGCCCTGACTCCCAGGTCAAGATAGGGCAGGGGGCACCGGAAGGTCAGCTCTCTTGCCCATCGCTTCTCACACCTTAATCCAGGGACTCTCTTGGGACAAATGGGAAACTGGACTCAGTCTGGGGAGCACAAACGCCAGACTGAGGCTAAAGGAGTTGGAGCCAAAGGGAGAAAGGGCTTCCATTAAGGGTCTCCTGCTGACTCCTTCCCCTGGTGCCCTGACTTTTCTCGTCCACTCCTTTGACCTGGATGTGAAGTAATCTGTGGAAATGAGCACAGGACCAGACTCTGCATATTGGGGATAAGGATCTTGGGGACAGTCTTCCTCCCCAAGGAAGGCTTGGATTATAGGTAGCTGGTGGTGGCAAGCAGAGAAGGAGGTAGTTGGGTACGACAGAGCAACAGACAATGAGAAATCATTGTCCCTCTCCTGCTTCTCCCTATTTCTAGCCCCTAGCTTCTACCTGGAATAGGGACTTGGGGTCGTGTGTTCACCCACCCTCCTTTAGGAGGCGAGGCAAACACTGAAGGCAGGGACTGGAGGGGCCACTTTGGAATATCCTGAGGGTGGAGGGGGTGGTGCATAACCAACTCCTGCTAGGAGAGCACCTGAACACAGACAAGTGGTGAAGAAGCCAGGAAAGGAAAGGGTTAGAGTGGCCCCAGCCATTTCCCTGCATTTGCCTCTGGGAACCTTCTGTTTTGAATCCTGAGCCCACAGCTGGACTCCCTGTCTCCACCCCTACCCCATTTACCCGGACAGTGAGGGCATTGGGCTCTGTGAAGAACAGGTCCCCGCCCTGGAAGTCATCGTTGAGGTAGAGGACTCCGCTGGAGGAAGAAGACAGGAGGCAGTGAGACCCCAGCCCGGGCCCCCTGCCGGACCCCTGGAGGAGCGGCCCTACCTGTAGTCTCGATAAGTGTAGGCCGGGGGCTCCCGCCAGCACTCTCCCGTGTCAGGGTCCAGGACGCAGTTGTCAGCATGCACGGGGTGACTCAGGTCCATGCGCTGCTCCTGCTCCCCTAGGAGGCAGCGGGGCCTGGCGAATGCCCCTTGGGCCCCGTGCCCATCCACCACTGCCCACACCCACCCTGAGGCTTGGGGGTCACAGCTGAGCAGAGAGGCCAGGCCCCCACTGGGCAGGGGAATCGGTCTTTTCGGAGTGAAGATGAACCCACACCATGTGAGGGTGCTGAGAGTATGTGGTTCCTCACAGGGCCCCGAGGCTGGGGAGGAACAGCGGGGTCCTGGCAGTTACCTTCGATGGCAGTGCGGCACACCAGGTGCGTGAAGGAGAGATGCAGGGGCCGCTCCGGGGAGAAGTAGGCCTGAGTTAAGGTCCGTACACGCTCACTCACCTCCAGAAGCAGCTTAGCACCCTGAGTGCCCACGGCCCCAGCACGGGCCAGCTGCAGGCAGTGGAAGGGCGAGAAAGGCAATGGAAGGGTTGCTTTGGAGTCTCTCTGCAGCCAGCTCTGTCCATCAGCCTCAGCTGCTCCTTCCACAGGGCTCCATAACAACCTCTCCTCAACCCTGGGCAGGACTCAAGGACCCTCAGTCCCAGGAGAGCCCCTCCATGGGGGAAGCCCAGGCCCTGGTGCCCAGCCTCCTGTAGACCCTCTTCTCTAGTTCTGGGCATCAGACCAGAGCACAGACCTCTCACCTGTGCAGCCTTGAGCACCGTGAGCCCCTCGAAGCGTTCGTGGGGGCTGTGAGGGGAGCGGCGGCCCCGATAGCCAGACCTGGCTCCTGCCTCAGCTGCATCCTACATGGGGAGAGAGTTTACTTTGGAGTCACTGTCCTTCAGCCCCAGACTTTTGACCACATCACTGCCCACAGGCTACAACCCTCCCACTCCCTGGAAGAGGCTAGAAGCTCCCAGAGTTCTCTGGTGGCTCCTTTTCCTGAGCTGCTGCCCTTCCCCAGAGAATGACTACCTTCAGGTCTGAATTATTACTCTCTAGTAAAGACCTGGGATCCCTGGCTGAGGGGCCTGTGCACGGATCTCTGGAGAGCATCCTATGGTGGAAAAAGGGCTTCTGCGAGGGTAAGGGCAGCTGGGAAAGGGGTGCAGCAAGGGCTTGGCCCAATGAGCCAAGAACTGAGGAGTCCCTCTGGAAACATGACTCTAGCGGGAGGCTCAACAGTCAAACCAGGTCAACTAAGGCATCTCTCTCTGACCTCTTCCCACTTTACGCGCTTGGAGGACTGGAGAACCCATGATGTGAAGTCTCAATTACCCCATAGCTACACAAAACTGTCATCACCTGGGGGGTTTCCTGGTATCTGGGTGTCCTTTCCTGATACCTATTCTTGTCTGCTGTTTGAAACTCAGTTAAATTACCACTACCTAGTTATCCCATTATATAAACCTTGTCCCTGAGAGACCACCTTGTCACGCAAGCCATCTAATCTTTTGTTCCTGTAGTCAATCATTCATCCATCTAACTTGTACTGAGCGTCTACTAAGTGCCAGGCACTGTTCTAGGCACTGGGGACACAGCTGTGAACATGAAGAGGTCCCTGCTCTTATAGGGTTTATATTTTCAGATAACAAACAAACCAACCAGATCCATTCAGATAGGTGTTATGATGAAAAAAACTGGGCTACAACCTTGAGAGTACCCAGGCTGGGGTTGGGGGACA